AATTTTGATGAGGCAAACTATGGCAAGGAATAAATCCAAGACTCGTGCTACAAAAATATGTTCTTTTCAATTTTCTTTGTTGTTCAGTTGTTCTTTCATAACATTATTTGTAGTACCATATGCAAACAAGAATTGTATTTTCTTTAACATTACGTACAACTTTTAGCATTCTTACTATTGTTTATTAAAACTGGTTTTTTCTAGTAGAATGTTTAAATAGCATATAGCTTCCTCATAATCTCACTAGAAACTACTTCTATATGACTGGTTTCACCAAGACCTGACTTTTTTGTGGTCATAAATTAAATACTACATAATTATTACATTTAGTTTTGCCAATTTTATGTTGAAAACAATCATTTATGCCTACAAATTTGCCTACACATTAATTTTTGGTAAAAAGTATTTCTTCCTACAAACTAAGACTTGTGTGGTAAGAACCTTGTAGACAAAAGTAATATGTATGGACAGATTTTGTAGGGCTAGACCTTTTTTTTGTTGGAAAATGCGTTAATTTTTTTTAAAGGGAATTTTATTGAAGAAGGGGAATTATTACAATGCGAAAAAGGAAAAAAAAAGAAAGAAAAGCATTACTAAAAGGAAATACAGAAGAAACCAAACCAAAAGTAAGAAATAAAAATAAATAGATAACTAGTCCCATGGGAAGTCTCTGGATTGAGACCATGATTTCATGCTATGGGGCCTTTTGTTCTTCTGCGTTTTGTAGGGCCAGACCTTTGAAGACAAAGATATACATTTTGTCGGGTAAATTCTTTCCCCACGGTCTTTGCCCCACAAATATCCTCACATAATTATTTTGTGGGAAAAAAGATTTCCCTACAAAATCAATCCTTTCCCAACAAAACTAATTTGTAGAAAAAAGTGATAAATCTTGAAGAGAGTATTTGTTGCGGTTACGGGTGAACTGCAACAATAAACCATTCTTTTATTTGCGGCGGATAGTTTAGAATTGCAACAAAAGATCGCCAAAATTAACATTAATTTATGCGGCTTTCGCTTAACTGCTTAAGATACTAATTGATGAGGGATTGAGGGTGCACTTGAAGCGCAATAGTTACATTCTAAGTTTACCCCGATTTCTGCCCATCCTATCCTCTTTTCTTTCTGACTGCATTACACCCGAGCGTATGTGTACACCCGATATTTTTGTAATATAATACAACTCTGATGACATAGATTATAAAGTCTGTTGCTCCTGATTGCTTTATTCCATTGCACTCTTTCTTTCATTTTATTTCGTTTCCTTTCCTTCTTCTTCTTTCTTCTCTTTTTCTTCTTCTTTAGTTTATATCAACAATTTTTAATTCACTTCTAGTGAATTTTCTTCCTTTTTAGGTATAAATAAATGGGATGATGATTTGATTATAATATCTAGTATCTATTCCTCTCTCATTAGTACAACTCAAAGTGAATGTTCATTCTTTTCTTGAAGAATTATTTTATTGTTTGATGCATTTGTAAAAACAAATTATTATAAATAAATTTTCTTAATATTTCTCATTCTAAATATACTCATAATTGAGTAAAAAAATAATCATATTAAGGCTATTTGCAAATACTGCTTCTGTCCCACTATGTTTGGGACAAAGGGATGTGGCACAAATTTTAAGAAAAAGTGGAATTGTGTGGTTAGTATTGAATTGATAAAGTGTGAATAAAGTAAAAATGAATGGTAACCACACAAATATTACCAAATATGGTATGAAACAAACTTAATGGGACAGACGAAAAAGGTAAAACAGGACAAAGTTGTGGGGACGGAGGGAGTAATATACTTTTGAATCAGTTTTATCTTATACTCCCTCCATCCCATTTAAAGATTCTCGTACACTATTCTCCGATCAACGTGCATTGTTCTTAATCTTTTACTTTATATATAGAAAGTTTATGAAATTTAATTTTTTTTGCATGTTTTGTAGCGGTTTTAATGTAGTTTCTGAGTATGTAAATTTTATTTACTACAAATAATTCTATTAATGACAGGGATCAGTTAACTTTATGGTCAATCAAACATCGTAAATCCCGTGGGAACCTTAATGTGGGACGGAGGGAGTACATAAATGAGTATAATATTTACAGGGAATGCTTATTGATATAATGTTTTAAAACGAGTGCTAATGGAGGCTATTAAAATGAGTTTTGTGTTATACGACTATGAGTAAACCGTTTAAAGTAAATGCACATTGATGTAGCCCCGCATTAATGAATATTTGAGCACATTGAAGATTTGAAATGAGTTTTTGAATTTTTCGATACTCATTTTGTAAATTGTGTATATTCATTCGGTACTGGTTGTATGTTCATTTTAAAATGTCATATACATTACATTAGATTCACCTATTGAAATTCATAAGAGTTGATTATATATATAATTTAATAAATTTTTATAAAAGAAAAAATAACAAAAAGAAAGTGAATTAGAAGTTATGAATTAGAGATCATGATTCTCAATATTAGACTTTTAATACTCAACAAAATAAGTTTGATACTCATTAAAAGTTCATTCATGCTCATCCAACAAAAGTCGTGATTTTCATCTCAATAGCAGATGTTGATGCTCAATGAAAATGTTGTGATGTTCAACTAACAAATCTTACGATTTTCTTATCAATACGCATCGTGTAAGTTATGTATGCTCATTTGATACTGATGTTATACTCATTTTAAAAATGTTATATCAATGCATATTTCAAAATTATCATATTACATTATATTCACATATTGAAATTCATAGGAGTGGATTATAGATATAATTTAATAAGTTTTTATTAAAAAATAGGAAAAAGAAAATGAATTGGAAGATATGTAGCAGAGATCGTGATGCTCATTATTACAGTATGTTTTTAATACTCAATAGAATAACTCAGTTGCTCACTAAAAGTATATCGTTGCACACTTAGCGTAAACCGTGATTTTTCTCTTATATTACAAAAATGCCACCATTAAAAAATTGCCTCTTTTGCTTCTTTTCCACCTCAAACATTAGACCTTTTAGTTATCGATTGTACTAGTATTAGTTAATGAGCTGCCTTCATTATTTGGGCTGGATGTACATAGTCCTTCAAAAGGCCAAAACCTTCCCCTCCTTCAAGTCCCTTGGGTCTTGACCTTGAATCTTTTATGTACCCATGGAAACTTTTTTATCTAACTTTTCCAAACTCAAATCAATTTTTAATTAAAAACAAGATATTAGGACATGTGATCCTTCTTCTTTTTGAGTGGCTAACGGAGATCGACTAAGACTCAGAGTTTAATGCTTTTATTGTTTATGAATTTAATTCTATTTGATTGCGGTAAAAATGTAGTTGGATCTAAATAGATTTATAAAACAAAATTTAATTCTGATTGTAGACGGTTTCAATCAGGGTTGGTGTGAACTTTTGTGAGATCTCTGGTTCGATCTCAGAGATCATATTGTTCTAACGAGGGTTGTCTATTAGCACATTAATTAGGTGAAACAGAACATGGTCCCACTTTCCATGGGGCCCCAATATTTATAGGGAAAATGTACATATATACCCCTGTAGTATAGGTGGAGGAACAAATATACCCCTGTTCTATTTTTCGGAACAAATATACACCTGAACTTTTTAGAAGGTGCAAAAATATCTCTCATTTTTTTTATAAAGGAGCAATTTAATCCTTATTGACTTTAAATTAATCAAATAAATTTCAAAAAAAGACCAAAAATAAATTAATAAATCAAAATTAAAAAATAAAAATTTTAAAAATGTAATTGTGTCCATTTCTCCCTTTATTGTTTTTATATCACAATTTAATATTTTAAGTATAAAATATTATTTCAAAATATGTACTTTTATAGTGCAAAGAATGTAAAAAAATAATTTTTCTCTACATTGCAAAACATGTGTTGCACCTTTTCGAAAGAATCTTAAACATATAGTAAAATTTTGAAATAATATTTCATGCTTAAACAATATTAAATTGTGATATAAAAACTATAAAAGGGAGAATTAGACGCTATTACATTTTTAATTTTTTTTTAAATTTCGAATTTATAATTTATATTTGGTGTTTTTTGAAATTTATTTTATTAATTTAAAGTTAATAAGGATTAATTTGCCCCTTTATAAGAACATGAGGGATATTTTTGCACCTTTTTAAAAGTTCAGGGGTATATTTGTTCCGAAAAATAGAACAGGGGTATATCTGTTCCTACACCCATACTACATGGGTATATTTGTAAGGCACTGATAGTATTAATTTTAGGTCACTAACATTAATTAATTAAATAAAAAAATAATTTATTAGTTAAATATATAATATAATATAATAGTGTATACTATCGTATATGAATATGAGTCGCAACTAAACTCATACTCCACTACTTTGTATAATAATGTCATCATAAATTGAAACACTTTACAAAAATTGTAGAGATTAATTATTGGAAAAATTGAAAATAATAATCTCAACTATTGCCGGTCCGCTGATAATAATCCCAACTATTGATTATTTTTGTATAATCCCAACTATATGGATCGTCCGCCAATAATGGTCCATGACCAGATATTACCTCCTATAAAAAGTGAATTTTAAATAGAATTTAAGTGTAAAAATTAAAAGTTGAGATTATTTATAGGGATTACTTGCTATATTTCTCCTCATCGACTTTAGAAACTACATGAATTTATTTATAGGGACCATTATTGGCGGAAGGTCCCTAAAGTTGGGATTATTCTAAAATAATCGATAGTTGGGATTATTATGAGCGGACCGCCAATAGTTGGGATTATTACTATCAATTTTTCCTTAATTATTTGAAAAAAGGAAATTCCTACCTATATTTCTTTAATTGCATTATTTAATGAGTATTCAATCGATTTGAGTATATAATAAGAATTTAAATCGATTTTTTTTAATTTTTTATATTAAAGCATAGCCTTAATTTTGTGAACAGTGACCTCCAAATTTATTAGACTACCCTGATTCCAAATGTTTCTTTTGTATGGAATTTTGGCGAGTTAGATGTTAAATGGATCAAGTCATGCTAACTTCGTTGCAGGAGTTTGGTGTTGCTTGATGCCTAATGCTTTAGCAGGAACATACATACTCCTTAACATAATGTTGATTCCTTTCTTAGAACTTTTCTGGACAATATATCAATGCGCATGTTTATAAAGGGTTCTGATTTTCTCATCAATCAGCAGGAATTCTATAATGTGGCTCAACGATTCCTTCTTCAAACTTTTGTCGACAATTAGTGCCTATATTTTAAGAGGTTCCAGTGGTCAGTCGGCGGCGGCATCTCCATCGACCGTGAAAATGGACCTCACTGAATCGATCAGAAATCACACACAGGTTTCTTTCAAGCTAGCGAAGCACGTCTTCTCGACCGAAGTGAAAGGAGATTCCAACCTTGTTTTCTCTCCTCTCTCAGTCCACGTCGTCTTGGGCCTAATCGCCGCCGGCTCTAAAGGCCCGACGCTCCGCCAGCTGCTCGCTTTCCTCGGCTCCAACTCCTCCGAAGATCTCAACGCGTTTTCGTCTCACATCGTCACCGTCCTCTTCGCCGACGGAAGTGCCGCCGGTGGCCCTCTACTGTCGGCGGCGAACGGTGTGTGGATTGAGCGCACTCTTCGCGTTAAGGATTCCTTTAAGCAAGTCGTGGACTCTGTTTACAAAGCTGTTTCTGAATCGGTTGATTTCCGGCACAAGGTTTGGGTTTTAACCTTCCAAATTCGAATTTGATAATTCTCAGTCAGTATATTGGGTTTTCATGTCTACAATACAATAGAATGGTACCCATATATAGGATGGATTTCGAAATTCTTCCATTCGTTTTTTGAAATAATTGTTATTGAATTACTTTATTGTTCTTTTAATCCTTCTAGCAATGGTGGCATAACGCCAATTCTTCTTCTTCTTTTTTAGATTTTTAAAAATGTCATATTTTCCTTTGAAAATGTCAAGAAAGTGAGATTATTGGTCATTGAAATGGTCATATTTTGCATTGAAAATGTCATGAAGATGAAATAGTTGTTTGCTCTGGACTGCCTCTGGACTATTTTGCTGAAATAGATGAACCCGTGTTCTGGATGAAAAAGTGTCTGTTTACAATTGAACATGTATTTCAGTCAAATCAAAGCTAAATTGTTTTGCTCATTCCAAGTATTCAACTTATTCACTGGGTTAGGCAGGATAAGTTCAACAGATTCGATGTAGAACGAAAAAATGATGCTTATATATGGCCTCTAATTGATTGGGGCATTGGGCAGGCAATTGAAGTGGTTAATCAAGTGAATTCCTGGGTTGCGAAGGAAACAAGTGGTCTTATCAAAGAGATACTCCCTGCTGGTGCAGTTGATGCTACAACACAGCTCATTTTAGCGAATGCGTTGTACTTTAAAGGAGCCTGGGCAGAAAAATTTAGTGCATCAGAGACACAAGACCGAGAGTTCCACCTCCTTAGTGGCAGCTCCATACAAGTCCCCTTCATGAGCAGTAAGAAGAAGCAGTACGTGAATGCCTGTGATGGTTTCAAAGTTTTGGGACTACCCTACGAACAAGGCGAGGATAAGCGTCGCCGTTTCTCCATGTACTTCTTCTTGCCGGATGCCAAGGACGGGCTCCCATCCCTGATGGGTAAGATCACATCTGAAGCCGGGCTTTTAGAGCACCACATTCCCAAACGTCAAGTTGCAGTGGGGAATTTTCATATCCCGAAGTTCAAAATATCTTTCGGCTTTGAAACTTCAAACACTCTGAAGGAGCTTGGGGTGGTGTTGCCTTTTGCTGGAGGGGGGCTCACTGAAATGGTGCACTCCTCTGGTGTGCGAGGCGGTCTATATGTTTCAAAAATCTTCCATAAGTCTTTTATTGAGGTTAATGAGGAAGGCACAGAAGCTGCAGCGGTTACGGCAGCTGTTGTGAAGGCCCGGGGTTTCTTGGTGGAAGACAGAGTGGATTTTGTGGCTGACCATCCCTTTCTCTTTATTATCAGGGAGGATTTGACCGGAGCCGTTGTCTTCATCGGGACTGTGGCTAATCCTCTTTCTGATTAATTAACCAAACTACGTATACTTCATGTTAACCGACCCCAAAATCTTTTGGGACTACGACTTGGATGTTGTTGTATATACGAAGTATTATGTATGTTTCTGTAGTGATTCAACAATACCTACTAAGTTATTAGTTGCTGGCATGGCTAAATGAAATCTACTTTACATGTAGTTCAATGCCAATTCCATGCTCAAGCTTGTCAATGCATATAATTCATATCTTTGTTTCATTTTTTCTCATCCAAAATATAAAACCATATCATAAAATATCTTAACAATAATCTGAGTAAAGTAAGGTCATAGAAGTCATAGAAGATTTATGATAAAATCTGGATTCTCATTAAAAGTGCAACATATAACTTGAATCGATAAAAGATATCATCAATTTTAATGCTATCTTCCTCCTAAAATGTTTCATCTATCACGTCATTCACGTGCCATCCATAGGTACTGATAATATCATCCATTCTAATGCTATCTTCCTCCTAAAGTATCGCATTTATCACCTATCAGGCTATCATCCTATAATTAACATACATAGAACAAAATAAAGTGACAAACTATATTGATGGAGAGGCAGGACCATAGTCCAAAAGACCAGTTTAGCGCCAAGAGTGTTAGGATTCCAAATGTGAGAGGATGTTAAATGCAAATCAGAAGTGCACTACTATAAGGAAAATAAATTGATACACTCACTCTATCCCAACTTATTTTATCATTTTTAATTGGGAAAAGTACGGAAAAAGGTACTTGTGATTGAGTCCGTTTTCAGATAGGTCATGTGTTTCATTCTTTATCAAAGTGGTTCATGTGTTTGAATTCCGTTATCACAAGAGGATTACGCCGTTAAAAATGTCTGAAAAACACCGTTAAAATTAACTCCGATTTTCAGAAGTGTCCGGAAAATTAAAAGAAAAATACCGAAAAGTGCGTCTCGTCAAGATGACCTCCAAACCACCTTCGCCTTTGAATTTTCAGATCTATTTAACTTTTTTTTAAAAATGATTTCGCTAATATCACTTTTCCGGTGAACTTTCCGGTGACAAGGGTGGCTAAAAAAAAAAAAAAAGAAAGATGGCCTAGCGGTCATCTTATTGAGGCGCACCTTCCGATGTATTCTTTTAATTTTTCAGTCACTTTTGAAAATCGGAGTTGCTTTTAATGGTCTTTTTCAGGTGTTTTTAACGGTGTGACCCTCTTGTGATAACGGAATTTAAACACATGAAAAACTTTGATAAAGAATGAAACACATGACCCTATCTGAAATCGGGCCCAACCACAAGTACATTTTCCGTACTTTTCCCTTTTTAATTTACATTGATTTATCAATTGTAATATTAATAACTATCTTAGATTAATTTTGTATGAAGGTTTTTCCTAAAATATTACTAAAAAAGGAGTTTTTCCCCGTATTAATGCTAATTAATTAAATAATTACATAATTAATGTTGGGTTAAAACTTATTACCGATATACTGCTGGGCTTAACCATGGTCGGGGTAAGTCGCCAAATGGTTGGGCAACTTACCCTTAAATCAAAACGTCGGGTCAAGCTATGCCACAGACAGAACGCAGAAGTACCCCCCCCCCCCCCCCCAAAAAAAAAAAACAAAAAAAAAACCTCTGCAGCTCCAGCGAGAACCCAGCGACGGCGAGAACGCAGAAGGGTGCAGCTCCATCTCCGGCGAAGCTCAGTCTCCGGCGACTGAGGCGGCGAGGCTTCCCTTCATCTTGCCAATAATACTTCACCTCCATCTTCTTCAACACTCTAGGTAAACAAATATCTCCATTTTATCTCATATTTCATGTTAGGGTTTAGAATCCTTAAAATTCGACTTTGTAAATTAGGAATTTATTTGTGAATTGATTTGTTTTGTAATGTGAATATGTATGAAATGTTGAATTTTGATGTTCAATTGATTGTAATAATTTATTTTTAAATTTGTTATGTAATGTAAATTTGAATGTAATTTTTTTTAAAATGTAATATTTTCGCATTGTTAAGTGTATAGATATCATATAGGATTTGCTTAATATCTTGTGGTGTCTATGAAATGAGTAAGTTGGACATTTGGGTAGAATTGAATGTAGTTAATTTTTTTTATTGAAAATTTGAATGTAGATTTGCTTAATTATGTTGCTTAATTTGGGTGTATAAAGTGTGTATATTAATGTGTACTCATGAAAGTTGGACATGTATTGTTATTACAATATGGATTTCTCCAACTTCCCAACCGTGTGTCATTGGGGAGGGAACATATTTGAGGAAGCTGGCTAAATACGCCATGAAGGTGGTAGAAGCAACTTTGTAATTGTTTCTCGTGGCGCATGTTTGCTTGAGATGCTGCAAAAAATCCATGTAACTACACAGATTCCTCCGAGCCATTCTTTGCGATTGAAAATGAAATATCCCCTTCACGGGGGATCATACACGCTTATGCCACTTGATGATGAGGTAGCTGTCACAAATATGTGGTTGATACTTCACATGCAGAGTATGTTCACGCTAGAGATATACATTGAAGAATCCAAAGGTGACGCTTCTACTACTCCCTCAACATTATCAAATGTTGTTGTATCTAGGCAATAGGCATGGTGTCAATGCAGGGGACTCCTCAAATGCTGCTGTACTGGACATGGTTGTAGAGGAAGAGGGGAGGTATTTGCACCATGGCACATCATTTTTGGATGGCCAGGGAACTGATGATGTTGCTGATGATAACATCAATGATGATGACATGACAGAATCTGATGAAGATGATGGTGATACTGTCACCACAACTGCCCCGTCTAGCCACTTTACTAGACTATATGATCTCCCATCCGGCTTTGATGATGCGTGGAGGAGTGGAGCAGGTGTGAAAAGGTTTACACCCGAAGGTGAGCTTGAGGTTGGTCAACAGTTTGACAACAAAGAACAGCTCATCAATATGGTGTGATTGTATTCTATTAAACGAAACCAATTTTATCGGGTGCTGGAGTCCGATAAACACAAATGGGTTGCAGAGTGCAAGTGGAAGAAGGAACGTGATTGCACCTGGAGAATACACGTCACAAAGAAACATGCAAACCTCGACATGTTCACAGTTGTGCGTTATCATGGACCTCATTCTGCTACTTGTGTTGGCAACACCGACAGTACTGTTCACGTGGCGATTACTTCAGATTTCATTGCTAGAGATGCGATTGACATTTTTCGCACTGATCCTTCCCTTAAGGTGCATACTATTATTGAGATGCTGAAGGAAAATTATGGTTATACGATATCATACAGGCGAACATGGATGGGCAAGCAAAAGGTCAATGCTGAAATATTTGGCGGTTAGGAGAAGTCTTATTCTGAATTGCGCCATTTCATGATAGCTCTCCAACATTCCAATCTTGGGACAGTTGATCACTGCTACCCACCCCCTACAGGTCCCACAGGTTGTATGCAGTTTCAGAGAGTATTTTGAGCATTCAAGCCTTTTATACATGGTTTTAAGCATTGTCGACCCGTACTGACTATTGATGGCACACACTTGTATGAGAAGTACAAGGGTACATTACTCGTGGCTATGGGTAGTGATGAAAACAACCAATTATTTCATGTGGCCTTTGCAATATGTGAATCTGAGAATGGAGACAGTTGGTCATGGTTTATGGCATGCATTAGGGAGTTTGTAAGTCAAAATGAGTTGTGTGTCATTTCTGATCGACATGCATGTATAATAAAGGCAATGAATGAGGTGGACAGTAGTTGGGAGGAGCCTTTTGCGCACCATAGGCTATGTATCCGCCATCTTGCATCCAATATGCACACTCATTTTAAAGACACTCACCTGAAAAATCTGTTTGTTTGGACCGCACGACAACATCAGAAAACGAAGTTTGATGGTGGGTTCAACAAAATAAGGGAAATGCGGGTGGATGCACGACAATTTCTGGGGAGCATTCCCTTGGAAATGTGGTCATTACACCATGATGGCGGTTACTGATACGGTACCATCACTTCTAATATGGCTGAGGTTTTCAACAGCGTGATGAAAAATGCCAGATATTTGCCCATCGCCGCTTTGGTTCAGGTTTCCTTTTACCGCGTAAATGGTTATTTTGTTAATAGGCATGAAAGTAGTAGAAGGAGAGTGACAGAAGGCCACGACTACTCCCCACACATAACAAATTTGATTGAGAAGAATAAAGACAAGGCGAAGCATCACACTATTACTCCATTTGATATAGGCCGAGGGATATACCAAGTGGAAACGGGATGTGTGGCCGAACGTTGGGGAAGGGTGGGAGAAAGCAAACAGTTTATCTGCAGAGGTGCACTTGTAGTTGTAAAAAGGTGGAAATATATAAGATTCCATGCTCCCACGTATTAGTTGTGTGCAGACAACGTAGTTTGTCTTATCATACTTTTGTGGATCCTTTTTTCTCATCTTCCCAATACGCCGCTACATATCAAAGAGTTTTAAAACCCATTCCTGACCATGCTTATTGGTCAACTTACTCTGGACCACAAATTGTGCATGATCCATCCATGTTTCGGGCAAAGGGAAGACCTAAGTCTACACGTATTAAGAATGAGATGGATGAAGGCCCCAGATGAACGGTTAGATGTGGAAATTATAAACAAAGCGGCCATAATAGGGCCACATGTGCGAAGAGATCTTCAAGAGATGGATGGGGGTCCACTGGGTAAGGTTTTAATTATAATAATCCACAACTGATACTAACGTGAAATGAAAAAAATTAATTAATTAAATATTAATGATTATTTAATAACTAATATCTTTTTTATTTTTTGTAGGCATGAAGGTGTCAGTGGATCCAGGGCCGAGTGATTGATATGTCTTGACATTGCAGGTCACGCATAGGAGTGAGGATGTGTGTCGTGGCCTCGATGTCCAGGTGGATAGGTGCCGAGAGCACCTCCGTGGTTTGTCGCACGTGCAGGTGGATGACAAAGTACTAACATATGTTAAGGCTGCAGGTTTTTATGGTCTTCATAGATTGGTGGCTACTGTCCCTCTTGATAGAGCGCTACTCACTGCTCTTCTTGAGCGTTGGAGGTAGGAGACAACACATTTCACCTCCCTATTGGTGAGGTGACAGTGACGTTGGGAAATGTAGCTGTATTGACTGGGTTAGAGGTCCATGGGAGAGCAGTTACAGGTACTGCGTGTCGACAGTGAGTTGAGGATGTTGAGAGCTTGTTGGGTGTTCGCCCCCTTCTTCGGACTGACATTCATGGGTCATCTCTGAAGATGTCATGGCTGAGGGAGCATTTCGCTGTTCTTCATCCGGGTGCTGATGAGGTGATGATTTAGCAGTATGCACGCGCTTACATTGTGATGATGATGAGAGCTTCCATTTTTGCTGACAAGAGTGGAAATGAGGTTCAGGTGATGCACTTGCCTATGCTATAGAGATTTGATGTAGCTGCACAGTTCTATTGGGGTAGTGCCACGCTGGCTTATCTGTATAGACAGCTGTGTCGCGGTTGCCAGAGTGGGAGCACAGAGCTTGGAGGATTTTTGCTTCTACTCCAGATTTGGTCATGGGAGTACATCCACATTGGGCGTCCCATTATAGTAGGATACCATGGCCTTGATGGATACCCACTGCCTGATGAGCCTCCACGTCTGCTTGGACCACATCATCGACGAGGCGAGGACCCTCTGTACCGTCAGTATGTTTTTAATCGTTTGTATTTATGTTATTGTATGTTTAATATAATTGTATTAATAATATTTCTATTAATATATACTACATGAATGGTTAGATGGCTATTTGCTGATATATGTCGCACATCATCGGCTTCTAGGCTCGGTGTGTACAGGGATGTATTTGATCGGATGTCTGATGATCAGGTATGGAGTGCATAATATAACATTAACTATAATAAGTATAGCATAAATACTAATTTTGTATCCTTATAAAACAGATTACATGGATACCGTATACAGCTGAGACGGTTGAGGAGTTGCCCCCCGCTGGACGAGAGCATTATCATATATTGCGAGCACGTGTGCCGTTGATATGTTTTGATATTGTTGAGCTTCATTTGCCTGATCGTGTACTGCGACAGTTTGGCTATGAGCAGGTTATTCAAGCACCTATCGACACATATGTAGATCTTCATAAGGTGGATAGGCGTGGGAAGCATACGAAGGCGAGCTGAGCTTGTTGTGACTGGGACACTGACATTAGTCCCATATGTTTCGGGAGACTACATGGGATGATATTACAGCATCACACAGTTGTTTGTGTCTCCTTCTTTCAGTCTCCCTACTCACCATTATCAGCTTAGCTCCCTGGCTTTGCACTTGACAGTGAGTGTATTAGTAATTAATAAAGTAATTTATGTTATTTATTTAACAATTTTATTTATTTCTAAGTAATTATAATTCTATTTCATATTACAGACACGAGCTTTGCAGCGTATACATCACCAGGCGACTGTCACAGTGACTGATACGCATGACGTGGACATGTACGGTCAGGCTCTGACGGGCATTGCTTCCTTGTGTTCGAATGTGTTGGGAGAGTCGACTATGGCCATCTTATACATATGCCCCCATCTCAGGATTCCATGGCATCGACATCTAGTGCAGCGGCGCCTTCTACATCCCAGACTCAGCATGACAGAGTTGTTCCTCAACCACGACAGCAGTGTAGGCTTATGCGTCAACAACAACATCTCCATGACCAAGACGGTCAAGAAGACCATGAGAACTTGTAGTTTGTCTTTATTATTGGAGTTTTTCATGTACACTGAATGTTGTAGAAACACTTGACTTTATTTGACAGATTTCCACCTGCAAACAATTGAATATTGTGTTATTAGTACTTATTCCTTTGTTTATGATGCGTTGATGTGTTTCGTTATGAATATTGAATGTTTGCACAATGTTTTATTGGTTATGAACCTTATATTTTGTATGTTATTTGTGACTGGTATGTTACTAGTGATTTGTATGTTTTGTGAGCAGGTTTTGTATGTTCTGAAATGCTACGAATCTGGCTGTTTGTGGTTTTGCAGGTGCAGGGGGAAAGTCACCAAACCGCTTGGCGACTTATAAGTCGCCATCCGGTTGGGTGACTTATAAGTCGCCAAATGGTTTGGCGACTTTCCCTGACCCTGGTTAAATCCGGCAGTAGATCGATAATAAGTTTTAACCCAACATTATTTTTGTAATTATTTAATTAATTAGCATTAATTCGGGAAAAAACTCAAAAAAAGTCATGAACAAAAATTTGATTTAGTAACTTTTAGTGGCTATAGTTGTGTTCAAAGTTTACATCATAATCACTATATCATACTACCTCAGTCCCATTTATATTGTCTCTTTACGGTTTATGATGTTTGACCGACGATAAAGCAAACAGATACCTGTCCGCACTCAAATTATTTTTTGGAAAAAAAATTACATATTCAGAAACTACATTTAAAGCTTTACAAAGTCGCAAAAACCTGAATCAAATTTGATAAATTTTTAATATATAAAGTAAGGAATTAAGAGTGATTTGTGTTGACCAAGTAAATAGGAACCGAGACAATATAAATGGCACGGATGGAGTAGTAACTTTGAACATAATTATAGTAAGTGATCAAGCCACATTTTTGTCCATTACTTTTTCAGGAGTAATATTAGTGATTTTTTTTCATTTTCTATTGATGCACAAAATCATAATTCAAGTATCAAAAAAAAATTGGAAAAGTTGCATTAGCTATATGGTAGTAAGAGCATGTCCAATGTGAGGATATGCAATTGTGCATGGTGCACACCTGATATGAGATAGATAGAAAAATAAAATTAAATCATCAATTTTTCTTTTCTTTCTTTAAAATTTGTTCTATATTTTTAGTTACTTTTATCAATAATATCAAGCACAATGAATTTTTGTGCTTGACATTCTGAAAAAAAAAACTTAGCAAAAACTGAGAAACTTATTAAAATAGAGAATTATATTATTGGCTAAATTTTTTTATATGCTTATACATTTGTACTATTCATATTTTTACATTTGATATGTTCTGACTTCTAAAGTTGAATAAGGTCTGTGAAAAAAGAGCCAGAGTCACAAATTACTGCCACCAAAGCCAGGAAAGCATAGACATTGCTTAAATGTTTTTTCGTTTGTTCTAGTGATGTTTTTAAAAGACATTCTCTGATGTGTAGAGGATTGTCACTACACAGTTTTCTGATTTTGTGGATTTACATCCTTAATGCCTTCGTCAAGTCTATAGAGATTGTAACTTTTTGTGTTGGTCAAAAAAAAAAAAAAAGGGTCTAGTCTTGGAGAGACTATCTGCCATTTTGGACTGGATATGAGTACATGTCTAATAAGCTCAACTTAAATGGGCTGTACCGTCCTTAGGCACTCTCTATAGGCCGACAATGTGAAAGCTTGAAGTACGGGCCCACTATCTCCTTACTCTACGGAAGAAGAAGAGCCTAAAGAGTACGCGGCAAATGTTCATTGGTCGAAACAGGTTGAGACACGCCCTGATTGGTCAGTTTTGCCCAAGAGGACGTTGCAAAAAAAGTGAAGCCCGCGTCCTTGACGTCCAACGTCCGCACAGACAAGTATCCTCTCCCGGGAGAATCCAACATTTATTCGCCGGAGAGAAAGATTAAATCCAGGAATACGAATTGCTCGCCATTGGCGCTCATTCTCCATCCTTCGCAGATCCATTTCAGAACCCTAGATTTTGCTGTGTAAATAGACATCCGAAGTGTCGGGTTTTGATCTCTGTGCCAGCAGAAATGGCGCATCGAGGATCAAAATTGCTGATCTTGTTATCACTCTTGTCTTACTCTCTGATTGCTATAGCAGCGTAAGTGCTTTCTTCGTATCTAGCTGTCGTGTATTGAATAATCGATTGTTAGGTGGGTGGTAAGTGATTTCGTCCATTTCAGTAAGAGTTATTACGACATCCTGCAAATCCCAAAAGGTGCTTCGGAGGACCAGATCAAACGAGCGTATCGAAAGCTGGCACTGAAGTACCATCCTGATAAAAACCAAGGAAATGATGATGCGAATAAGAAATTTGCGGAAATAAGCAATGGTATGGGGTAAAGTTCAACACTAGCTGTTAATTAATGATCTGTTGGGTGATTCTGAGTCTTGGAGTCTGTGTGTTTTGTTGTCAGCTTATGAAGTACTGTCAGATAGTGAAAAGAAGAACATTTACGATAGATATGGGGAAGAGGGTCTTAAACAGCATGCTGCTAATGGAGGAGGCCGAGGATCCGGAATGAACATCCAAGACATATTTAGCTCGTATGTTGAACATTCATTATTAGTTCACACTTGATTTTTTCTAGGAATTCTATTTTTTATTATTCAAAGTTCAAACTCTTCTTTTAGTTCTCAATGTCATGCCATTTTGTGCACTAGATGTTCTAGACTTCTAGTAGTTAAGAAAAAGAACGGGGTTAGACTAAGCTGTACAGTAGGTGTGTTTAAGGTGGGACAAGATACCACACCTTTATAGCACAAGAATTTATGAACGAAAAATGTTTATGGTGGATGTCATCAAGGTAAAAAATAATGGTGCAAAATGAGGTTGTTTAAGCTGATTCCACTTACCTTTCCTTATCAATACTAGCTTAGTGTTGCACCTCTGTGCTGTCTTACCATGCTAAATTAGTTTTTTCTTGTATTTCTCAAGACCAAGTTATCTCCATATGACTTTTGATATTCTTTCACTCTCTTTGCCATGAAATTCCATAATTTTCACTGTGAAAACTCGATATCAGCAGAGCTATATGGCCAAATATGTCATTGTCTTATTAAACCAATCCATCATATAAAGTTTTAATTTTTATTTGTACTCGTACATATTTAGTGCTTACTACAATCAATGTAACTCAAGCTAAAATAGGTACTTGGAAACATCAATTTCTATTTCAGGCCTTTTAGAATCAAACCCATATGTGCATCTATGGTTTAGATATTGTTTTTAATTCATACCAAGTCATATTTGAGGGGGAAATTAACCTAAGATTTTACATTTTACTTATCCATTTTTAAATATTTGTTGTTTTATATTTTTACTTATATGATAATGAAGATCTAAGTTTAAGGGAAAAACAGCATATTTAAAATTAAGTTTTAAATGAGTACTATGGAACATTTGTGTTAGTAGAAGGAAAGGTGTGACAATAATGCTTTCTTGATGTTCGGAAGTGATAGTTATATGTGAATACATTATTTCTTTTATTTAAATGTTAAAGCACCATTTATTTGAGACTGTAGGGATTACAAATTTGATGGTAGGCAATTAGTAATGGTGTTGGACTGTGGCTCACAATTGGTTTTGCTATCATCTCTCCAATTATTGATAAATATTATATAATCCAAGCAGAATCTTGAAACAAGTAATTCTTAACACATACAAGAAGCCTTATAAATCCACGTGACTGGGTTTTTGGTGTAACTTATACTATGTTGGCCATTGTATTTTTCTGCGGTTCTACTCTCAAAATTAGTGGTCAGGTCAAACACCAGGCGTTTCTAGGTTCATATAATAGACAAAAACTGGTGCCCAAGAAGCTGTAAGCTGATGTTTATTTGAATACAATGCTGATTTCAAGAAGCTCAACCTGGGACAAACAAGTTTTATAATTAAAGTGTCTGTAATTAGTACCCTGTATGTGTACATTATGGGTTTTTGTACTCCAAATTATTATTAGATACATAAATCTCTTTGTGTATCTATTTCCTCAGTGGCATGCCATCCTGATAAGTGATGATTGTTATTATAGCTTTTTTGGGGGAGGTGCTGCGGAAGAGGAAGAAGAGAAGATTGCAAAAGGTGATGATGTAATTGTTGAGTTGGATGCATCACTTGAAGATTTATACATGGGAGGTTCACTGAAGGTGTGCATGTCAAATGATGTTCATATTTGTATTATATTATACGGAGTACTTGAGTACGGATACTGCTTTTTACAATGGATGATCAATGTTTTACCATCCATGAAGAACCTTTAAATATGCAAACACCGCCTTCTTTCTTGACTGCTAAGAATTCCTCTTTTTTTGCTTTTACAATTTATGTGTCCCAACTCCTAAGAGAGAACTCTTCTACAATTAATAGGCTATCAGTTCATGCAAATGACCTTTGGGCTTCAATCTCATTTTTGACCTTTTAAGTTATACTACCTCCATCTCATTTTGTATGTCTTGTGTTGGTTTTGCACAATTATTAATAAAGTGGTTGAAAAGCAAAAATTGTGGATGAGGTTTAAGTAGAATAAAATGAAATGATATGAACCCCAAATTACTTTGCAAGAAGGAAACAAATTATTTATTTTGGGACACCCAAAATGGAAAGTAAGACGCATAACAGGTTACTAGGAACAGAGGGACTGAGGGAGTATTACTTACGGAGTACTATATTTAGAGTTTTATTAAATGCTTCTTCGTGGAACCTATAACAGGTTTGGAGAGAGAAGAATATTTTAAAGCCAGCTCCTGGAAAGAGACGATGTAACTGCCGCAATGAGGTTTATCACAGGCAAATTGGCCCAGGAATGTTTCAGCAGATGACAGAACAGGTAAGTTTCCTACTTGATTTACGAAGTTCAGTAATTTTTAATTTTTTTTTTATCTCGGGAGGATGACGCGGCACATGTACGTACAGAAAAATAGTAGCGGGCATTGTGACTATTGTCTGTGATACCTTTACTTAGGCCTCGTTTCCAATGTACAGATATCTTCATATGTAGCACACTTCATTTTATACACTTGATAAAGCTTTGAAGCTGATTATGGGCTGTGCACTGCACCCTTCCAGGTCTGTGATCAATGTCCCAATGTGAAGTATGAAAGGGAAGGCTATTACGTTACTGTGGACATAGAAAAAGGAATGCAAGATGGGCAAGTAAGCAAATTTTCTAGATCACGATGAAACATATTTACTACGTATGATTTTACAATTTTTTTGCTTTATTCGTTTTCTTTGAGAAATTCATAACCTGTAATTTTGATTATTACTGGCTACATCCCCTCCCCCGCCTAATTGAACCTAAGAAACAATTTGATGGCATACTATGCAATTTTGAGTTTTTGAGGTTATAATCGATATAGTAATATCTTAAACTTTGAATATAGTGAATTCATGCCACAATGTTGTGACCATGATTTCAAAGTACATTTTTACTGGGTGCAACAATAAAAAGAAACCTTGTGGTATAATGTCATCACTGTTTTCTTCCAAAGTGGACCTAACCAAGGTTGACTATGTTATTGAACATATACTACAAATAGGTTACAATATATTCCAAAAAAACAAGTTGGTTGATGTATGTCAGTTTATTAGTGTGCTATATATAATATGCATGCTTATTTTTTACAGGAAGTGGTCTTTTATGAAGATGGTGAGCCTAAAATAGACGGTGAACCTGGTGACCTAAGGGTTGGATTGCTATCCATAGTTCATATTTGAGCATTGCATTATATCTTATATGTGTGGGCTCTAAGCTATTATTTTTATTTCCTTTTCGAGGAAACAGTTTCGCATTCGAACAGCACCTCATGATAAATTCAAGAGACAAGGCAATGACCTTCACACAACTGTCACAATCACCTTGGTATTCTTTTTGCTTTAATTTTTTCTCTTCTGTTGTGCTATTACAGAACTTCAATCTTTCCAAAAACACATGATGCTTATACAACGGAATTGTTAACTATGGTGGTCACTGGATTGATTACTTTAGGTCTAGTTTTTACTTATTAGGATGTTTTTACTTGAGTTGTTTTCAGTCCTAGACCAGACTTAAATAGACCGGACCAGACCAAACCTGAGTTCTCTAGTTATAAAATACACAGGGACCAAACAGACTTAAATAGACCAGATCGCCAAATTTCAATCCAAGTAAAAACATCCTTGATCATCATCTGCTCTTCGATGCATAAGCTGTGACTTTTTGCTAAATTAGCCTTGACTTGTCCTGAGCAAAGGGATTAACACTGGTCATCCCAATGTCTATTTAGGAGAAAAATGTATTTTTAAAAATAAATATGTATCTGCTTAGATGAAAAACATTAACTATTGGTGCCCAGGTGCAAGCGCTTGTTGGGTTTGAGAAGACCATTAAACACCTTGATGATCATCTTGTGGACATTGGCTCAAAGGTAAGACATTTTACCTCTCAAAGGTTTTTGTTTTACATTTATTTAGTAAACGTAAAATGACAATATGGTCGGTCTGTGTGGTAATCAGGGGATAAGAAAGCCAAAAGAAGTGAAAAAGTACAAGGGAGAAGGCATGCCGCTTCATTTTAGTAACAAGAAGGGTGATCTATACGTCACTTTTGAGGTTCTCTTCCCTACGTCGTTGACATCCGACCAGAAGACCAAGATCAAGCAAATTCTTGGTTAAGATGTTTTTAAGGCCGCCATTGTTTTTTGTGTTAAAGAGAATCTCAAAGAACATCATTGTAGGGAAAGTGGTAGTAAGCATAATTTGGTCTGAATCCTCATTTTACTTTGTAGTCCATCATTTTTACGGCTCATGTCGTATATATTTTCCACTTTTTCTAATACCATTATTTACTTGCCAGGATAGGGGACTAGTTGATTAGCTCTCAAGTTTATGATGGATTTTTTATGCTATATTTTTATTTTAAAGCATTATTAATGTAGGTGAGTTGCAGGAGCTTAAAGGAGTTAAAGACTAGCATTTTATTGTGTTTAGTTTTAAAAAAGTTCATTGATATACACATTCAAAGATACAATTGAGATAAAATTTATTTGTTCTCTCAGTATAAAAACTTTAGGATACGTAAAAGCAAAAGTTACTAGTAATAAACAACAAAAACGCATTATAATCATACAAAAACACATTATAGTCATACAAAAAACACATGTACAAAAATAATTAATAAATCAATACAGTAGTATTATTGAAAGGAATTTAAGAGTAAATGAATTTAAGGGCCGTTTGGAAATCCTTTTTTTCGGCTTATCAGTCAACTTTTTCACCAAACACGCAACTTTTGTTTTCGCACGCATAATTGTGTAATAAGTAGAAAAAGTAAGGTTGTAGTTACTTTTCTGGTTGCATTGGTTGAAGTTACTGTAGATGACCATTTTAGCTATTTTTACATATAATTTTTTTAATTTTATTAATAAAATATATTTTAAAAATAATTTATTCTTAAATTAGCAGAATCAGCCAATGTAGCCACTTCAGCCAGAACTTCATAAATTTCAGCAGAATCAGCCAAATCAGCCGATTTTCGTGCTACCAAACGGGCTAGTGAACTGAACTAAATGGCAAATGTCACAATTTAACATCTTACGTAAGAATTTTGTTATATGTGTAATGTATTATACATTAATTTCACAATTTAATACTACATATGTATAACTTAATTACACAAAACATTATTTTGTACCGGGAGAAGTAAAGGGTTACAAGTCTTGTTCTGCAAAATAATTTATGCCATGGTCAACCAAACTAAAAGAATCTCTTAGTCTATATGATACAAATCCAAAATATTATTCGCACAGTAAAATTTACTCGTAAAATGATACTACCTCCGTCCCATTAAGTTTGGGACAATTCAGTTTACGACGTTTGACTGACGATAAAGCAAACATATTCATGTCCGCACTCAAATTATTTTAGGAAAAAAATACATATTCCGAAACTAGATTTAAAGCTTTACAAAGTCACAAAAACCTGAATAAAATTTGACAAAAAGATTAAGAGTGATTTGTGTTGACCAAGTGAATAGTGTCTGAGACAATCTTAGTGGGACGGGGGGGGGGGGGGGGGGTAATATGTAATCTATCGTCTCTAAATTAACTTTCAAAGTACATTTAACACGAGATTAAGATAGTGAGTATCATGTAGTAGAGAGTTTTGCAGAGGAGAGAGAAATGTGTAAGAATGTGTAGGAATGGATGTGAACAAAAAATTCTATGTAAAGAAGGGAAAGCGAAAGTTTATGTTGGGAAAACAAAAAAAGGAAATTTGAAAGTTAAATAAAGGACAAGGAGAAATGTTTGTGAAAGTAATACATAAACCAAAATATTTGGCATGCTTTTCATTTTATTTTTAATATACATGTAAAATATTCGACTATTTATAATGTGTAAAATTGACATGAATACCATTAGTGTATATAGAGATCGAGAATGTAGAGATTTAAAGTGTATTGCATTATTGAAAGTTGGAATCGTTACATCTTTCCAAAGAGAGCTATTTATACTAGTCATAATTGCTATTTGCTAAGCTTAAATGCAAACACACAAGTAAGCTAATATGTGGAGAGAAACTTTGGAGTAAGGCAAAATGGGGCACATGGTAGTGCATTAAATGCATCCACTGAGCATTGTAGGAGCAGGGGCTGAGGACTCTACCCTTAGAGTGCCGAGGGGGTCATACAAACAACAAGATCTTTCTGAATCGGTTTCATCAGTAATACATGCTGCATGTTGTCGTGGCCCTCGATGGATTATGGCCCACCTCAAGTAGCATGAGTATGTGAGTCGGGGGATCCAGAATTATATCCAACTCATACCTAAGACTAACCCTCCATCTAGCCCTCTGATAGCCAAGAGGCCCTCCTCACTCTCTCATTAGGCTTAGAAAAGTCCACCACATTTGAACAACACTTTTCATTGAACATGTGTGAGATTCGAAGCAACTATCGATAGTAAAAGTCACAATACTCCCTCAGACCAATAAACTAACCTAACAATCCGCATAAATATCAACCACAAGCCTCGAGTTTGAAAATAGAAAATAAGTACGACTAAAGAAGAAATAAAATTGAAGCGAAAGAAACAATAAATAGTAAGACAAACTTCTTGATCTATCTTCTTCCACCCTAGTCTGCTGCCTCCAACCCGCGTCCTTGATCAATAGAAGCCTCAATACTTGAAGTGTTAGCATCCAAACCCGAGCAACTCATTCATTTCATGGTGCTGATTCATGAGGCGGTTAGGCCATCTGAACCGCCTATTGAAGAATAACGCCTCCTTGCTGATATGCTTTAGAGCATTCAACTCGCTTACTCGCTCTTCTCCTTGTTCATGTCGTTCAATGTCATGCTGCCGGTTCGTATTGTTCAATGTCGTGTTGCCCAACTTGCCCGGTATCTTACTCATGCCATTCGCTGCCATATTGTCGCAAGAACGTTGTCCAACGATGGTACCTAGGACTATTGCAGGCGTACATATACCACCACTAATAAGCTTTTGTGTATACAATTTTGTAAAATAAAAACGGAAAAATTCCCTAAATAGGTGTAAAAAATAATGAAATTCCAAAATAGGATTGTTGAGTTTGTATTATCTAAATAGGAGTAATTTATGTCAAGTTTCGCATTACAGGCTTTAACATGGCAGTTTTTTCAAAACTTGACAGAAATTACTCCTATTTAGGGAATAAAAATATGAAAGTTCTATTTTGAAATTTCAAAACGTTTTTACTCATATTCAAGGCAATTTCTAAATAGAAAACCCAAAGTATAATTTTACAAGTTTCTAATCAGCTTTGAGTATTGACCACTTTAATCACTTATGTATAAAACAAGAAATGTTAAGAAAATGTTATTTAGAGCCCGTTTAATAACTCTGTTTTTTCTAATTATCAGTTATTTTTCAACAAATACGTATCTTTTGATTTCACGCATTGAGTTATACTTCGTTGATGGTACCATGGACTCGAACCATGGCCCAATTACTAAATCTAGCCCATAAACGGGATCAGCCCTCAACGGGATTAGCCCATAACGGGATTAGCCCATAAACGGGATCAAGCCCTAATCGGGATTAATAATTGATAAGCCGCTGGGCCTAATTAGGAATCAGGTCCACGATAGGAACCCACAACCAGGCCGACCTGAACTGTCATGCCCCGGACCTACCCGGACACGTCAACAACCCGCCGTACAGTACGAATAGTCAACCACAGTCTAACACATCCATACTATACAAGGCGTTTGGAATATCATTCACACATAGTACATCCATAAACAAACATAATGTAAAATATTCATTAAAGCAGCGGAAACAATATTACAAGTGTTCAAGCCACACTTGGCATACAAGCCCTTAAATAATTTATTAGAAAATATTATCCATGAGCATTATTGTAATTGTTTTGAAAATAGAACGGATGAAGCACGAACCACGTCTTCTCTCCAAGAACTCCCGAAGCAACGGATACAGGAAGCAAACTCTAGCTTCTACCTGAAAACTGTGAGGTGGCCTCCCCCGTGAAGGGGAGGTCAGTACTTTGAAGCATTTGAAAAGTACAATGACAACTATACTGCATATAATTAATGTTTCAATCCTTAAGCCCCTCAACATAGGTGTTATCATAATTCTAGGAAATAACCCATAGTTACCCCTTTCAAAACATACATAAGTATATAATGTCAAATAGTCGGCCCAATGGCCCATTTGTATTTGTCAAAAACCCCTTTCCATCGCCACACGATTAATTATTTCCCCATTTGTATTTAATAATACAAATCGTATCGCCCTACGATAATTCAAAAATACAATTTGTATCGCCCTGCAATAATTTAAAAATACAATTTGTATCGCCCTGCGATAATTGAAAAATACAATTAGTATCGCCCTGCGATAATTCATTACATTAATAATTCATACAATTTAACCCAAAGGCACATCAATCATACAGAACCTGTCACCGCTATCCAAGTCCCCACAGAGCACTCGGTCGGAGTCCAGCATCCTGCCCCTGGACTCGTACCCTGTTCCCGTAGGAAGGTAAGGCCCATTCGGGGTCCTATCTTATGTGTTACCGCTGTCAAAGCCTCGCAAGGTCTTTGATTCGGATTCCACCCTTATACGTGATCACGCAGTAAGTCCATGCTATCCAACTCGCTCTCTAGAGTCAAGTAGGGCCATGGTCCTTACATCTATCCTATTAGCAAGTCCATGTGGTCGGGCATCTATCCTTAGACTAGAGCCGAGCCATGACCCTTGCTCTAATCAACAATCAATTACGGGTATCCTAAAGACCACCCAGGTAATAATATCAACAATCCAATCCTAGGATAATTATATCAATTAAATCATCTAAGGCTATCCCAAATGAATACCCTAGTGACGAAGCATCACAATCCTAAACTTAGGATTTATTTATGTTCATACTATGACCTCGGGCTAGTCATTTAGTACCACCCGAGTAATTCTTAGTTCAAGTTGTCTTTCCCCTTTAAACAAACATGACGGTCATGCCATGGCTCATTCTCACTTCATTCTATATTGACTTTACTAACCATAAAGTCAATACAATTAAATAGTGATTAACAAATCATTTTATTAGTTCATCACTATATCACCTAAAATAACATCTCAAGTATATCAAGTAATCATGCTCCAATTACTCATAGTACAATCAATCATGCATCAACTCTTCATATACAACAATATGATCAATTGACACTTTACTTGGCATATTAGTTAATAAAATTCATGCATTTATAACATTAGGTAATCTCATGAATTAACCCACTAGTTATAAACAATATAGTCAGCCATCCTCACCTTATGATGTGTGCTCAACTAGTTGCCTTTGCAAAGCCCCTCGATCAGTCCCCGTTCTTAGGCCGATTGAAAGTGGAAGTTCTGGACAGCAGACAAAAGCCGGGCGGCTTTTGCAAAAGGTGGGCGCCATTCGAGCCTGCAGTTCGAAATCAGTCCCCAACAATGGCGGTTTCCGGCGGTTTCAACTTCTATCGATTCCACGACTCTTCTAAGTTAAATACCACCACTTTATATCAATATTATACACTTTTAAACATGTAGAACTTCAAGTTTAATCCACCATATGATTTCTTAAAAATCATTCAACATAAAACTAGTTAAAAGATGATAGTTGTGTTCTTACCTATTTTCCTAGCTAATTCCTCATGGATTTCCTATCCTTCTTCTTCCTCCAAGCTTGCTGGTTGTGAGATCTTTTCCTTGATCTCCTTATCCCTATGGTTGGTTCGTATGGCTCAAAAATGAAGGGGGGAGGATATCTTCTCAATTAAATTGAGAAATAATGTATGAGTAGGATAATGAGAGGTGTGGTTTGTCCTCAACCATCCTCGATCTTATTCACTTGTCCGCACAACCATGTTTGTTTTTCCCCCTTTCCATATTATTTGAGGCTTAATTGACTTGTGAAATATCCCAAGTGGGTGTAGGAAGTTTCTCCCAATTATTATTGTTATTTCTAACAGGTTGGGTCAAAATAACACTTGGGTTGCCCAAACATTTTCCTCAACTTTGGTTGACATTTTATTGGGCTTGTATAATTATTATGATGACCCAACTAATTATTTGGTAGCCCATTCTCAATATTATGGTCCCGATAAATAATTTAATTAATCCTTCATTAATTAAATGTACCGTTCTTGCACACATAAATATTCGCATAGAAGATTCAAATACATATTGAATTTCAAATTCAAGTACATCCGGGTGCGGTGTCACATGAACAGCAGACCTCGAGCCTTGGTGGAGTTCTAGTGAGGCCGGGATATTCCTAGGACTTACGTGGCGGGCTATCATTCGAGCATAGCTATCTCTGGCAGCTGACAGGACTCAACGGAAAGAACATGGACTTAAATGAGGAAATCATTGCACAACGTCCAAGACGTTACACGAGGCCTATTCGATTAGAATAAAATTAATGGCATTTACTGTATCAGTTTCCTCCTAGAGTACTAGCTCCTGAAGTCTATAAATACTTCCTGTATATTTCCCTGAAAGGGATCGGTGAATCAGTTCTCCAGAATAATAATAAACATTGCCTTGATGCCTATATTTCATCTCTTTCGTAGATATAGCTCTCGCAGTTGGATTAAACTTCATCATACGTATAGTAATCAAAATAAGTAAGGTTGAAGGTACGTTTTCTGGATAGATTACCTGAAGTTACTATACAAGACCATTTTAACTATTTTCATATACTTTTTTCTTTATTTTATTAACAAAATATATTTATTATAAAGTTTTCATAATTCAGCAAAATTAGGTAATCCAACCACTTCAACTATAATTTCATAAATTTCATTAAAATTAGGGGTGGGTGCGGTCCGGTCCAATATTTAGCCGTACCTGTACCGTGACTATTCAAACGGTCCGGTTTGGTTCGGTCCTAGACCTAAACTCATTCAGTATGGTTCCATTTTCAAACGGAACGGTACCATGCGATACCAATAACAAACAATGTCATTTTTCCAAGTGTTTAAGAGAAAATTAAAGTAAAGACATCCTCCAATTTGTCGTACTCCCTCCATCCCAAATTTACATGCAAAGTCATTATTTTTTGGACAACCAATGTTAGAGTTAAATTCTCGTTATTGATAATTAATTCAAGGTGACAACTCTGGTACCTTTCTAAAAATAGGGGTACCGTACCTAGCATTCATTTTATTGGACCACATCACTTTATCAATTTTAATTTAGATTTAAATAATTCAACTGCGACCTTTTCATTAGTCCATGTGGACAAAGGTATGGTACCTTATGGGTACCATAGAAACTACCTTAATTCAATTTTTAACGATTAAAATTTACATATTCAGAAACTACATTAAAATCTCTTCAAAGTTGCAAGCTCCAAATTAAATATAATTAAAAATTGACATTCTAATTAAGTGAATAAAATGAAACTGTTTGACCAAGAAAAGTTAATTTTGCAAATCAATTTGGCACAGTGGTATTATTACATAATTAATAAATTTCAGATAAATCATAGCAATACAAATTGAAATAATTAAACCTTACATTGGTTTGATTTCAGGCTTCCTATGAACTAGCACAGCGGTGAAAGTGTGAAGGCACTAGTCAAATTAATTGTATAAATAGAAATTTAAATAATTAAACCATACTTCGGTCTGGTCCGGTCCGGTACCGATTCTCATTTTATGAGAACCGGTCATGACATTGTGTGAAACCGGCACGGTCCGGTTCGGGATAAAAAATTTGAGATCCGTTTCAAACCCCGTTTTCGGTCCGGTACCATACCGGTTCAGTTCGGTACTATGTCGATTCGGTATTTTTGCCCACCCCTAATTAAAATCATCCAATTCAATTAATTTTAGAGTTATCATGCGCTAATAAAAGAAAAACCAGTTTATTTCTGAACTTTTAAATTTTTTATTACAGAATATTATTTTCTTCGCCTTACTAAAACTTTGACAACTATTCCTTTTTGCTTGTCCCACTAACTTTATCACTTTCATTTGAAGTAAATAATTTGAGATTCCAGTTGATTCTGTTTCTTTTACATAAATGTCCATCACAGTTTTTACATTACTAATTTGCGCGTAAACCAAACATTGCGAAGTTTTTAAATGGAGTATCAATCATGGAGAGAGAAAATGTGTGGCGGGTTTTGGTGCGTTACAGATAGTTCAGGTACTCGAGTCTAGACCCGAACCCGTTCCGAATCCGACATTTTATTTGAGGGTATGGGTCTGAATTTAGAACCATTTCCCGGATCCGAATCCGAACCCGTTAAGTGATAGAAAAAATGGACCGAATATGGTTTTTTAAGTTCTGGCCCGTTTTGGACCGGACCCGTGATGATATAATTATAGTTATAATTTTTTACATATACACACACAATATACATAGTGGTTGGCCCACTATGTATATTGTGGCCCGGTTCGGGTCTAGAAATATTTAAACCTAAAATATGGAAAATATCAAATATAAAAATGTTTTAATATTTGTAGGCTTAGTTAGTGGTTGGCCCACTATAATGAGATTTTCGCTAATGAGTTATTGATCTAGGTTCTCTATGAGTTCACTAATATACATATAACATACTCCCTCCGTCCCTTACAACTTTGTCATCTTTCCCTTTTGGGACGTCCCAAAAAAACTTTGTCACTTTCCCTTTTAATCCATTATTTTGTGGTTTATGTTATTTCTCTCTCCTTTGTACAAACCTCAACTATACAGTTTTTACTTTATTATTCTCCGTACTGGTCAACTTTGGCAAAATTTTAAGGGACGGAGGTAGTACTTCGTATATTATTGTATACTACGTAGTTCATAAGGAGTAATGTATAGAACAACATTGCTTATTTATATATGATTTATATATGATCTCTTCCAACATGAATAATTTTTTTGTTATATATGAAGTATTATACGTATTTGTTTGCATATGTCATTTAGTTTTTTTTTTTTGCGGGTATACTTGGCCCGGATCGGAGACCTGCCGGATCCAAATCTGGAACATATGTTTAGGACCCTAAGAGTAAATGGGTCCGGATCTAGACCAAAATAATTTTAATGGATATAGATATGAAATTTATAGTTCCGGCCCGTATCCGACCCGTTGACAGGTCTAATTATAGAGAGACCGTAGGAGGACATGTGTCGCTTACCTGTCAAATAGAGGTGCGCAATGGTGGGCGGGTGCTTTGTGACCGACACGTCACGTTCCTATGTTTTAGCATTGAAGTGACGAGGAGACTCATCATTTGGATTGGATGGCCCAAAATGGCTGCCAAAGAAAGGCAAACTGGATCCCTCGACCCTCGCTGTCGGTTCCAATTTTGTTTTTTTGTTAACTCGATTTCAGCTTCGCTATGTAATACGTCCGCCCCAATCTCTTAATACTACCTCCGTCTAGGCGTGGACCCGGTTCGGGCCGCCCGGCCCGGGACCGGCCCGGCCCGTCACTGTGCGGGCCCGGAACCGGCCCGGTTCTCGGGTCCGGGTCCGGTTCGGGCAGAGACCCGGTCGGGTTAGCGGGACCGGGCTCGGGTCCTGGTTTTGGAGGCCCGGCCCGACCGGGTCGGGCCCGGGCCCGGGCCTAACGGTCCACTTTTTAAAAAAAAATTTTTTTTTTTGGATTCTTTTGGCTCAAACGGCTACCCCAAACGGCTATATAGCCGTTGGGTGTACCAGGGGGGGTCAGGGGGGTTTGGGTGGGGGGTGGGGTGGGGGGTTGGGGTGGAGGGTGGGGGTTAAAAAAAAAAACCTATAAATACTCCTAATTTTAAACATTTTTTCACACCTCTTCTCCAACTCTTCTAAATCCTAGAAATAATGGCCTAGATATTACTAATAGTGTTTCTATGGGCAATAATATTACTAGCTTATATTTTAGTCAAAAAAGTGACTTTAGCTTGGATTACGGAGTAATTTATTTCGGAAGAGTAATTCATTTAGGGGTTTGTCCTCAAATAATACTAATTAAAAGCACTTGGACAAAAAAAGAGACTTTTCTTTTAAGTTCCAAAAATAAGACTAAATAATACTTAAGGGACTGTTACACCCTTACTAAGCCCAAACCCACTGGCCTGCTACAGTAACCCGTCACAGTGACCAAATGTGCAGTGACCAATGTTATAGTTACCAATGACATAGTTACAAAATTCATCCTGTGACATAGTTACAAAATTCATCCAGTGACAGTGACCAATGTCACAGTGACCAGTGACATAGTTACAAAGTTCGTCACCCCTAATCCACCAGTGAGTCAGTGACCAGTAATCAAATGCCGCCGCTAATGACCATTTCCCCGTTACCGCCGCCAGAGACGAGTACCCCGCTGCCCCCGTCAGTGACCAGTTGCTACCCCCGCCACCAGTGACCAGTCCCCCTCCACCGCTAGTGAACAGTACCTACCTCAGCCACCAGTGACCAGTCCCCCTCCGCCGTCAGTGACCAGTACATACCCCCGCCACCAGTGACCAGTACCTATCCCCGCCAGTGACCGGCCCTTTGCCCCACCCGTGACCTATTTGCGCTGACACCAGAGAGCGGTCCACGACGCCGCAAGTGACCAGTAGGGTCAGTGACAAGTCCACGCCGCCGTCAGGGACCAGTCCTCCACCGCCGCTAGTGACCCATCTCTACTACCACCAGTGACCAATCTCGTGCCGCTATTAGTGACCGGTCCCGCCACCGGCCAACACCGTCGGACACCACCGCCGACTATCACTACTCCATCAGTCACAACCCCATCCTTGCCCCTCTCCTGTGGCCTGCGTCACACAGCCCCCTAGCCCCCCACTATCCTCGGCCCCTGCCCAACCCCTCCCCAGCCTCAGCTTAAGCCCTACTCCCAATCTAGTCCCAGCTCAAGCCCTGGCCCAGATCCACTCCCTCCCCGCCCCCCCTCCCAAGACCTAGCCTTAGCAGTCAGCACGATGACTAATCTGCAACCATCTTTGATGCTCGCACCATCTCGATCTGTTTCCGAAATCGGCGAAGAAGAGATCAAGCCCTGTTGTCGTTCCCATCCTTATTGCCGTCGTCATCAATTGCCTGTCATCAATCGTTCAAGGCGGAGAAGACGAACGATGGCGACCTCGGAGTGGGGCAAGCAGAGGCGAAAGATAAATGAGAAGGAGGAATTGAAGTTCGTAGAGATGAAGTGTTGCTGCGGTGGCTGGGCGGTGGTGGAGGAGGACAAATCTGAGAAGGATCGGTCGATGGTACTGCTTGCGGATGGAGGAGAACTGAGGATGCGGCTGGAGGAGAACGAAGGGTTAGATTCTTCATTTGAGGGCATTTGAGTCCATCAATTAAAATTTGGTCTCTTTTTTGTCTTATTTTAAAACAATTCATATATTTGTCAATTGCAATTCTATTAGTAATAATCAGGTCATTCTTTCATTCATTTAGTCTTCCCAATCTTAATCCCAATCAACGACTCCCACAAATTTCTCCCATCTAGCGCAAGATCTCCTCAACCCCGCAAAGTGGCAAACCGGTATCTTCCACGGCTACGGCGGTGTAGGTCTCTTCGAAGGTAGTGGAGGTGGATCTATTCGATTGCGGCAATTGCCTTGAGGGGTCTTCGATTTCTGCGGTGGCGGCAACACCTTCTCTCTAGCGCCAAGGGTTCTTCCATGGCTACAACGGTGCAGATCTCAACGGTTTCTTATTACTCGGGAATCGTAAGCCACAAGTTCTTCAAGACAAAGTTTACTTCTTCGCCGTCATCTTTTTCTTCTTTGTTCATATGTAAATCAGTCACTATTTGGACTGTCTTCATCAAGATTTGAAGGTCGGTGTTTAAGCCTCTCTGTTTTAGTGACACTATAGCCGATGGTGTTGTCACTACGGTTGGTTCACTTGTATCCGATTGTTGGTAACTACGGACATAGGTGTAGCTGTGGAGTCACTATATGACAGGAGAAGTAAAGTCACTAAAACACTGTGATACAGTGACACAGAGGATATGCGTCCAGCGGTAAGGTCACTGGTGGCGCAAAAGGCTATAGAATCACAGCGCACATAGGGATGTGAGTCACTAAACCCCGGATATCGAAGTGAGTCACTGAACCCCAGAGATTGAAATGAGTCACTGAACCCCGGAGATCGAAATGAGTCACCGAGCACTAGGGTAACGTGATTACTAAAGCTTCAGTGACTACAATCAGTGACTAAGAAAATGATGGTGGTAACTTTTGGCGACGTTCACCGATGAGATTGTGATCTTGTAGAGTTGTAGTGACTGATTTATAAATTTAATGCAGTGACTAATTTAATTACCGTAGAATGATAAAAACAATTCACTAGTGACTACACATTCAACACCCTCGTACTACTCGTAATACACCGACAATCAGGCCGGCGGAGATGAAAAAAATTCATTGTTGATCGCACTGCAATAATTTCAATTTCCATTCTTTTGCAGATTCACGATTAAGAACAAAAAGATATTATTTTTTCATCTCAAATCCAACATTAGTGACACTAAAACATTCTTTCATTCCCTATATGGTTATCACTTATCAGTAACTTTGTCCTTCTCTCACCTTGTAACTGGACCTTCTTCCCCTTCCTCAAATATCTTTTCTGTGAGTTGCCATATGTTTTGGTATCTAGTGAATGAAAACAAGGCTTCAAAATAACGGAAATGCTCCTTATTTCTATCTTTCAGTTACACTGCATTAATGATCCCATTTTTCCGCATGGAGATGGTTGTTAACATATATCGTAGCATGGCAGTTTTCATGTTTTAAATGCACGTGGATAGAATAGTGGTCATATTATTGGGAAAAAAGGTTTTTAGGCACTTTTTTGTCTTGTAGTCTCCATTTAGTAATATTGATAAAAAAAGGCCTAAATCCTACTCTCTACTCATCTCCATTCTCCAATTCTCCATATTCATCTTCTCTAATTCTCTTATTCTCCTTTATATTTTATTTTACTATTTAATACTTATACAATTATTATATCTACTTATATATTAATTATCTACTTATATATATTATTATCTACATATACTATATTGCTTATATTTCTTATCTACTTAATTTCTACTTATATCTCTTAATACATACATACATACTATATCTACTTAATATATACTTTATATAATAAAGTATTAAATATACTTTATAAACTATTATTATATACTTAATACATAATAATATCTACTTCTCTACTTATATTTTATATATACTTATTTTCCAATCTCCAATTCTCCATTATACTCTAATATTTAATTCTTATACAATTATTATATCCACTTAATACATACATTCTACATCTACTTAATATATATTTATATATTAAAGTATAAAATATAAGTGTATTACTCATCGTATAGTATAGTATACTTATATATTATATAATATAAACATTATATTATATATTACTTACTATAACTAGTATTATACTAGTTAATTAGTTAATTAGCATTCTTGTTACATTTTTCATTATACTAGTTAATTAGTTCATTACCATTATTGTAACATTTTTCATTATACTAGTTAATTACTTAATTAGCATTCTTGTTACATTTTTCATTATACTAGTTAATTAGTTCAATACCATTCTTGTTACATTTTTCATTATACTAGTTAATTAGTTCAATACTTCAATACCATTCTTGTTACATTTTTCATTATACTAATTAAAATACTTCACATTTTATTTAACTAGTTGTTAGTTTGTTACATTTGTCACTATACTAGTTAACTACTTAATTAGCATTGTTGTTACATTTTTACTTGTACTAGTTATTTACTTCAAAAGTTGCTATAATTTTAATTGTAGAGACACACATTAATTCTACTTTGCAAAAAATTAGTTTGAAGTATTAATTAAAATAGTTTTAATTAGTTGCATTAGTTTTGTATCCATTATTATATTTGTTGTGAATTAATATTTGTTACATTTTTTAGATGGAAGGTGGTAGATATTCGGTTGATTTGGGTAACCTCCAACGCAATCGAAGAAACGAGATTGGGAGGAAGAAATCCCGCAAAGGTAAAGAACTTGCCGGGTCTTCATCTCAAAGCCGAGATGATTTTGAAACGGGTTACCAAAGGCGAGATGGAGATGCGATGTCCGAAGAACAACTCCAACAAGAATTGGCCCGACATAATAACCGCTTTCTACAACAACAACAAATGCCGACGACCATTGACGAAGAGGAGCTTGAGGATGAAGATGCGGAGGAATTGGAACCGGAGACGGCCGAGGAGGAGGGTGCCGGCAGCCACGACGCCGACGCGCCTGCCTCATCCCAAACCGCCACCGGTAATAAAAAAAGTAAGTCTGAACTAATGAAAAATAATTTTGATAAATGGAAGGACCCACAAACCGGCTATTGGCACGCAACTTGCAAGTGGTGCAACAACAATTATAGTTTGGGAACCTCCGGCGGATACGGATCCGCCGCAAGGCATCTTAAGGCAAAGCACCCCGTGGAGTACGCAAAATTAGGCGGCGGAACGGGGAAGCAAACTCAAATATCGAGGTTTGCGAATTCTCAACCTTTTGGTAATTTCTCCTACAATGATGCACAAAATTTGACTGGTATGGCTAACTTAATTTGTGAAGAAAATTTGCCTTATTTGTTTTCTGAAAGTCTTGCTTTAAGAGATTATGCACAAGGTAGTTTAAATCCTCAATTTAGAAATTATAGTCGCAAAACTGTTAAGAAAGAAATAATAAGGCTTTATAATGCGGAAAAGGAAAGGTTACAAAATTTTTTTGCAAACTTTGATGGGCGTGTTACTATTTGTTCTGACATATGGGAGGATGATTTTCATCATTTATATTATTTGGGTCTGACTGCACATTATATTGATGAGGATTGGAATATGCATAAACGTGTTCTTGCTTTTCGTGAATTTAATGATCGTCACACCGCTGAACATATTTATATTTTGATTGAGCGTATTTTAATTGAGTATAATTTGATTGATAAGGTGTTTGCTATTGGTTTCGATAATGCTACTAATAATACTGCTGCTATACCTAGATTGCGTGAGTTGTGTGGAGCCAATTCTTTGATGGGTAGATTTTTTCATCAACGGTGTGCATGTCATGTTATAAATTTATGTGTGCAAGATAGTTTAAAAGCGTTAGGAGATTCCATGGAGGTAATAAAGGGGGGGGGGGTTAGACGTATTTGGGGTAATGGTCAACTTAGATTAAAATGGCAAAGTTATTTGACTGAAAGAGGTGTGAGATATGTTGCTTTTCCTAAAGATTTGAGTATTCGTTGGAATAGTACTTATAAATTACTTAAAGTTGTTCTTAGATATAAAGAACATTTTCCTGCTTTTTTAAAAGAACATGATAACTATATTATAAACGCGGCTGAGATCGACACTTGCGAAAAAATTTGTAATGTTTTGATATATTTTTTTAATGCTACTGAAACTTTTAGTCATGTTTATAAACCTACCGCAAACCAATTTATTCCACAAGCTGTTAATCTCGCCGATGCTTTTAAAGAATTTCAAAATGCCGTTTTCGTTCATTATTTTTGTGATTATATGAAGGAAAAGTTTTTAAAATATTATGCGCATATTCCCCATATTTATGGTATTGCATTTATTCTCGATCCTCGTTATAGACTTGCTAATTTGGAAAGTTGTTTCAACTTCTATTATCTTGCGTTTTTCGGTGAATTTCCAATGTATGAGGATAACCCCATAGATCCGAAAACGGAATACAACGAGGTTAGTACTTTATTTTATGCCTTATTTAATGAGTTTCGTTCACAATATGGCAACGCTCCCCCTCCCCCGCCACGAACATCTTCATCTAAAGGAAAATCGATTTTTAAATCTGCATTTGGCAATCTTATGAAAAAAACTAAAACAACTCACGTCACTGAACAAAGCGCATTGAATGAGATTACTTTGTATTTAACATATGAAGTTGATTTTGAAGAAAATGATGACTTCGACGTTCTAGACTGGTGGAAGTCAAAAGAAAGAACGTTCCCGATTTTAGCACGGATGGCTAAGCAAGTACTATCAATGCCGGTTTCAACAGTTGCTGTGGAACAAGAATTTAGTTCGGCCGGCAACGTCCTAACGGCATCTAGATCGAGATTGAGCGCGGAGTCTCTTGAGACGCTTATATGCTACCACGATTGGTTGAAGGCCGCACGTAGAACTCAAGAATTGAGCATCACCCCCTCCCAAGATTTTATGGATGACTCAACAACCGATGGTGGCTCTACCTATGCCGGAGATTCCGATTGATTAGTATTTTAGAATTTAGTACAAAATGTATTTTATAGCACTTGTCAAATTTATTTATACTTGTACTTCATATTTCAAAATTGTAAACTTGTACTTCATATTTCAAAATTGTAAATTTGTAGTTGTAGTTCAAATTAATTTGTAAACTTGTACTTCATATTTCAAATAAATATGTGTTCACTTTTTCATATGTAGCACTTCTCAAATTAATTAATTGGTTACAATCTAACGACTTAAAATTATTTTTCTAAAATATAAAGCCGGTTTTTAAATTAAAAATACATTTAGAATATGTAATTTGTTTAAATACTTATACACCTATTTTGTAACATTTGTTTTAGTTTTACTTAATTCATTAAATTAATTAATTTATTTTACAATATGTGTATAAGTGTATAACTTAAAAAAAAAAAAAAATTTCAAAGCTCCCAAACGGCTATATAGCCGTTGGGGCTATGGGTGGGGGGCAGGGGGGTCCCGGGGGTGGTGGTGTGGGGAGTGGGGTTCAAAAACACCTATAAATGTAGTTCGTATTGTTATTTTTTTCTCAATTCTCAAATGTAGTTCTTATTTCAAATAAATGCACTTGAACTTTGTTTTTAATAGCAATTTGTATAATATATAATTAATATAAAAAAAAAAAATTATTGACCCGGCCCGGCCCGGCGGGTGGCCCGACCCGTGACCCGGGCGGGTGACCCGGCCCGAACCGGAACCGGTCATTGACCGGGCCGGTCCCGGGCCTACCCTTATAGGACCCGAGGCCCGACCGGGCCTTGACCCGGCCCGGGCCCGACCCGGCCCGGGTCCATGCCTACCTCCGTCGTTACACTTTCTCAAGTGCAAGTTAGGTGAGAAATAAGAATAGTAAAAATTGTGTTGTTAAAATTTGTGTAGAGAAAAAAGAAATGTACAGAACCACAAATTAGTTGCTTTAATAGAAAGGTGACAAAATTTTTTGGGACAAGTAAAAATGGAAAGTTAGCAAAACCCAATGAGACTGAGGGAGTAATAATACTCATAAATCTCAATCGCTCAAACAATTGGTTAGATTCATACTGTCATCTAAATACTCCGTATTATCTATAACATAATTAGCTTCTCAAAGCCGTCATTTTTTGTGTTTTACATCCTCTCAAACTTTATGTTGTCGGAGAGGGAAAACTCTTAGGACATGTTTACTTCACCGGTTATTAAACGGTGCTTATTAAGACCCGTGTTAATAAGCGGCGCATAAAATAAACAATGTTGTAAGACCGTGTTTACTTCAAACGGTTTAAAACACCGCTTAACATTAAAATGTCTAAAATAACCCTATACATATATATACACACAAACATTCATGAACACAAGTATATAATATAATATGTGTACCCATACCCCTAACCCCTTACCCACCCTACCTTACCCCGACCCCACCCACCGCCTACCCCTACCCTACCTACCTGACCCCACCCTAACCTGTCCCCACCCTACCCTACCCCCGACCCCATAGGCCCCACAGGCCCGTAGGGGTAGGGGTAAGGTGGGGTCGGGTAGGGGTGGGGTAGGTGGGGTAAGGGTAGGGGTGGGGTGGGGTAGGGTAAGTGGGGTAAGGGTAGGGGTGGGGTGGGGTCGGGGTAGGTGGGGTAAGGGTAGGGTGGGGGTCGGTTAGGTAGGGTAGGGGTGGGGTAGGTAGGGTGGGGTCGGGGTGGGGTAGGGTGGGGTCAGGCCGGGTAGGTGGGGTAAGGGTAGGGTGGGGGTCGGTTAGGTAGGGTAGGGGTGGGGTAGGTAGGGTGGGGTCGGGGTGGGGTAAGGGTAGGAGTGGGGTCGGGGTAGGTGGGGTAAGGGTAGGGTGGGGGTCGGTTAGGTAGGGTAGGGGTGGGGTCGGGGTGGGTAGGGTAGGTGGGGTAGGGTGGGGTCAGGGTAGGGTGGGGGGTCGGTTAGGTAGGGTAGGGGTGGGGTAGGTAGGGTGGGGTCGGGGTGGGGTAGGGTAGGTGGGGTAAGGGTAGGGTGGGGTCAGGGTAGGTGGGGTAAGGGTAGGGTGGGGTAGGGTGGGGTCAGGGTAGGGTGGGGTCGGGGTAGGGTGGGGTCGGGGTAGGTGGGGTTGGGGTCGAGGTGGGGCAGGGATAACAATAGGTTACGGGCAAGGGGTAAATTCGGAAACTGAAAAAGCTTAAAGTGCCGCTTAATTAATACATGGGGGGTTGTATGCTTAATAAGCGGCACTTTAAGCACCTCTTTCGGTTAGTAAGCGGCTTTTTAAGGAGTGTGCGTGTTTACTTCACCTGTCTTACTAACCTAACTGTGACTTTAGCAGTGAAGTAAACACCTCCTTAGGGTGGGGATTTAACCTTTTGGAGATCGAATTTAATTGTATGCAAACCAATCCGTTCGAGTGCTCCTGCTAATTACGTAGTAGTTTTGCAACGGCGTCGGGTGGAGTGTACCGGGGAGTGTGGATTGTGCGGGGAGTTTGGTGAATCTGTGCTGCATATTTTCCGGAGGTGTGCAGTAGCTCGTGAAGTATGGGCAGCTCTTTCTTGGCAGTGGGCTGGAGAGGAAGAGGTCTCATTTATGGAGCAGATTCAGTCAGAATTTCGGACTCAAAGGAGGGAGGCGTTGGAAAAGTTGATATGGGGCTGCTGGGCTATATGGTGTGAGAGGAATCATCGAGTTTGGCAAGGCGTGTCTTCTCCCGTGCAGCAGGTTATACACCGTGCAAAGGCATTTGTGGACAGCTGGACTCATATTCAGACAGCTCGGAAAGGGAAGAGACACACTGGGCAGCAACTTGCGGCTTCCTGGAGTAGACCGAAACAGGGGAAGTTGAAACTAAACATTGATGCAGTTGTTCGGGTGAATAGATGTGGCCTGGGGTGGTGTTTGCGGGATGACAGGGGCTGTTTTGTGGCCGCGGTTTCTCGTCCTTGGTGGGGGAAACTATCCCCCTTATGTGCTGAACTGATTGGAGTGCGTGAGGCTCTAAGTTGGCTGAAAGCAGAAGGTTGGACCCAAGTTGAAGTGGAGTCCGATGCATCCCGGGCTATTGACGAAATATTGCATGGTTCGAGTTGTTCTCTTATGGGCTTGATTGGTAACGACATCAGAGATTTGACGCAACATTTTTCGAGCATTTCTTTTTGTCATATTAGGCGGTCAGCGAACAAGACAGCTCATGGTTTAGCCAAAGCTGCTTGTTCTTTGTCTGATTCGCGATCTTGGTTTTATTATCCTCCTTCTTTTATTGTTCCTGCTTTGGATGATGATTTGATTAATGAGAATTAATTTATTTTCTTGCAAAAAAAAAAGAAATACGGAGTATGAGCTTCACTTTAACCAAAACGAAACACGTCCCTTCGATTAAAGTACAATCTAGGCGTGGGCATAAAACCCGAACCGAACCGGTACAGAACCAGCCTGTAATGGTTTCAGTTCGGGGTAGATTTTTATCTCGAATCGAAACCGTACCGTTTGAAACGGCTACGGAATCGACCCTAAATTTTGAGAACCGAACAATTCCGGACCGGACCGTTCAAGAAAAATGCATTTCAAATTGATGAAATTCATAAAAATAATTCATACTTTTAGAGATTCTACAATAATAATCTCTACTCACACTGTCCATAAAAATAATCCGAACTATCAATGATGTTCATAGAAATAAATTGGAGTGAATTCAAATTAATGCCTATTTAATATTCTCAATCCTTACTCCCACCTTTCTCCTCCTCACTATTCTTCACGGGGCAAATTCAAATTAAAACTCATTTAATATCAAGAAAAAGATTGATAAATGGGAAAGTAGAGGTAGGAGTTGAAAGTATTAAATGAGGATTAGTTTGATTCATTCCAATTTATTTCTTATGGACACTATTGATAGCACAGATTATTTTTATGA